CAGCAGAGAGATCCGTCTAATAGAGGTAACTGTGTATGTTTGGCACCTGGACTTTTGAGTGAAACCAACTCGACAGCACCCAGTCTCTTTTTAGGGGCTTCATTGAATGTCTGTGTGATCAAGAGTAACAGGAAAGAAGAACAGGGAGATGCTTATAGTGTTGTTTCAGTGATGTTTGTTAATGTAGCTTTTACCTTCATAAAACTGTTTCAGGACAGAGTGAAGACATTAGAGATCGAGTTGGATGAGGAGAAGTGTGGAGCAGAGCTCCTAAATGAACGCATCGCTCGCAGTCGAGAGCAGGTACACAGACGCACATTAGTTAAAGGCTGCTTTTTATTTGTCATATTTATGTTTGCAAGCACAAGCTATACACAAGCAAGGATATAGATTTAAATTTTTTTTTTTTCTAGGTGGATCAGCTCCGTTCTGAACTGATGCAGGAACGTTCAGCCAGACATGATCTTGAGATGGATAAGAGCGCACTAGAGAGACAGGTACACACAGATACCTTTCTAATAGACTTGGTTCTAAATTAAGATTATTATAATTGCTTTAACAAACATTGATCTGAAATAGTACAGTAATGGAGTTTACCCCAGATTTATTTCATCATATGTGACCCTGGACCACAAAACCAGTCTTAAGTGGCTGGGGTATATTTGTAGCAATAGCCAAAAATACATTGTATGGGTCAAAATTATTGATTTTTCTTTTATGCCAAAAATCATTAGGATATTAAGTAAAGATCATGTTCCATGAAGATATTTTGTAAATTTCCTACTGTAAATATATTAAAACAATTTTTGATTAGTAATATGCATTGCTAAGAACTTAATTTGGACAAATTTAAAGTCGTTTTTCTCAATATTTTGAATTTTTTGCACCTTCAGATTCCAGATTTTCAAATAGTTGTATCTCGGCCAAATATTGTCCTATCCTAACAAACCATACATCAATGGAAAGCTTATTTATTCAGCTTGCAGATGATGTATAAATCTCAATTTCAAAAAATTGACCCTTCTGACTGGTTTTGTGGTCCAGGGTCACATATTAGTATGACACACTTTTGTCACATTAATAATTTTATAACTGTATTGTTATATATATATATGTATGTTTAAATCCTTCATTCTGTCATCGCTCTGTATTTCATCTATCGTCTCTCTTGGTCTCTCAGGTGAAGGAGTTAAAGTCTCGTATTGCTGATATGGGCTCTCAGACTCGTCCCTCTGCTGGAGTCACGATGCTAGAAAACAAGATTCAGGAGCTGGAGGACCGTTTGCGTAGTGTAGAGAGGTACAGAACTGGACAAGCACAAACACAATCAGCACATAACTGGATATTAATCAAAGCATCCATGTATCCACTGTCTTTTGTGCATGTAGAGAGAAAAACACCATTCTAGCAGCTCAGAGGAGATTGGACAGGAAACTTAAAGACGTGACGGCCACCCTGGACCAGGAGCGAAGTCAACATGCTGAACAGAGAGACCAGGCAAGCACACACACACACACATTTAAAGATACATGTATTTTACATGTACATTAGGGTATGTACTTGATTTACGTCAAAATAGAAATATATTTTTTTATGATGTTAATTATTATGCCTATAAATGTGTAGACATAGCTGTGTGTATCTAAACAGCTGCTGCGTGTTTGTCTCTCCAGCTGTCTCTGCGAGTGAAGGCTCTGAAGCGGCAGCTGGATGAGAGCGAGGAGGAGGTGGAGCGTCTGGAGGGCGTCAGACGGAAAGTTCTGCGGGATCTTGAGGAGCAGCGGGAGCTGCAGGAGGCACAGCAGGCCAAAGTCAACGCGCTGGAGAACGAGCTCAAGTGAGATTTCTATCAAATATCCATATCAAATAATTAAGAATAATGTATGAATATATATATTTAATTTATGCATTTAGCAGACGCTTTTATCCAAAGCGACTTACAGTGCATTCAGGCTATACATATTTTACCAGTATGTGTGTTTCCTGGGAATCGAACCCACGACCTTTTGCGCTGCTAACGCAATGCTCTACCACTGAGCCATATATATATATATATATGTATATATGTGTATATATATATGTATATATGTGTATATATATATATATATATGTATATATGTTCCTGTGGCTCAGTGGTAGATTTATATATATTTTTTTAAATATACATATATGTCAGACATGCCTGATGTGAAAAAGCTTCACTGTCTTGAAAACATCTGAGTTAATGAAAAATGTAGTCAGTTGTGTCACTACTTTTAGCTAGTTACATGCCACCACTGATATCAAATGTATTTAGGCCTCAGTTTTGTTGAATGAACATTTTTAAAGAGGTCATATGATGCGATTTCAATTTTTCCTTTCTCTTTGGAGTGTTACAAGCTCTTGGTGCATAAAGAAGATCTTTAAAGTTGCAAAGACTAAAGTC